TTATTAAAGTCAAGACCGGATTAGAGAAGATCAAAATCAACTTTGCGGCGAAGACCAAGGACTTGTGTTCTTCACGTTCTTGAAAAATCACGACGTTTGATTCGAGATCAAGCTGTCCAGCCCTCGAAGAAACGTTATTTAAATTCATATTCAAGACCGACGGAGATCAAACTGAAGATTTATCTCCAAAAGTCTCAAGTCTATTTAAAGATCATTCTTGAAGAAATTAATCAGAGGAATAATAGAGATTTGTAATCCACTATATTTTGTTTGATCTGTTGAAAAATCATTTGTACGAAATTCTCGTGTTTATTAATTCAATAATACGAATTTTGCATTACACTTGCGTAAATCATAAATCATAAATCCAATGTTTTCATAAATCCCAAGTTCATCAAACTTATTCATAAGGGAACGTCTCTCAATTCAAAGTTCTCAAAAATTCAAAAGTCATAAATAAGCATAAATAAATCCAAGTCTACTAGCATGCAGAATAAACTAAATGAAGTCAGTCAAAGACCAACACCACTCGTCTTTTGTCTCGTCAGTCGGCACCTACTTAACCTGCATCAATGAAGAGCAAGTGGGAGTGAGCACGATGAACTGTTGTGCTCACCACTATGCACGTAAATAACAACATAATATAGCAAGGGTATGGTCACAACATGATCATAAATTAATTCATCATGTCACATCTTCAATCAATACACCAATAACCTCACTCATGTGCACATCTATCATTAGCCATTGCATACCAAGGACATACAACTCTCAACGGTATGGCCTATGATTAGGACTTAGGGAGATTGCCACACAAGGGCACCGTCGAAGGACATACAACTCTCAACGACGGGGACAACCGTTCGAAGGACATATAGCTCACAACGAAGGTTACACAAATTCACATACATACTTTGATCATACAACAGCAAAAACAATTAATTTATTTACGGCATAGCAATTTAAATAAGACCCACCTGGATACCAAGATGTAGCTAAACATAGAGTTGAAGGAACAATGGCATAATTTCAGCTCGATGAACCTACAACAATTATAACAGCCTATCAACTGACTATCCAATCCAAGACAACACACAAAGCACATATACTTAGCCGAAATCATATCGACTAAGTGACTCGTGGATTTCTTGACCGAGTTAAGTACTTTGGAGCGACTACTAGACCGGAACACAAATCATATACCTCAGGTAAAATACATAAATCATGCCAACATCAATAAAATCCAATCCGAACCTAAACAAAGGATAATCGAGCATTAAGACTCTAAAATAAACAAAATTCAGTATCCAGAGTTAGACACAACCAATCAACTTGAAACTTTACCAAATCACGAGACATATAAAAACACATAATCTCACCAAGTTTCAGTCCTAAATTTATTCGGGAGCATTTTTAAATAATTTAAGCAAAAACAGTGTCAAAACACGACATTAATAGTTCATATAGCTACACTTCGAATTGTAATCCAAACTTTTGAAACAACAAAGAATACCACAAAATAACATACTCCTCAAAGTTTCAGCTCAAAACTCCAAGTGTACGATTTTTAATGAATTTTACAAAATTCTGACCGGAAACTGATTTAATTAATTAAAATAGCTACAGATGGAGTTTCGACTTGAACATTTTAAAAGACTTACAAAACCATCACAGGACATCACATATAAAATTTCATGGCAGTCGGACAATCACACGATTTATCACGAATTAATTACGATTCAGCAGCGTGCTTGGTTTAGAAAATTCATAATTCGGCATATACACATCGAAACGACCCCAAACCAAAACCAATAACTTGAGGACAACTCCAAATACCTATAACTCCAGGATTTCCACAAAAATATCACTCGAAACTCAGTTCGATAACAACCAAAGTGACGACAATCACTTTGATATCCAAAACGCATATAAATTCATAATACGACTCGATAAAAACACGCAAGGCACACAATCAACTTCATAATTCATATGTTC